CCCCTCTATCACGTGTAAACGTTTTACGATTTTTATGGCTACTCAATACGGTTTCCAACCTCTCTCTTATTATTTCAAACCACCAGGCACGGGTATCGAAACTTGATGGACGTTCTCGGGGGTGTTACCCGTGACGAGTGGTGTACCGGTATTTTGAGTTTCGCGTGCCTGCCTGTAGTTACAGTGTTTGAAATTGCGTTTGATGGCTGCCTTTAAAATTGCTGGACGCAGGGACGGAGTCATAAAGGGCGAAACGAGGATGCGCAAGGCGGAGGAAGCCAGAATTATGGTCCTCGTGGATGCTGCTCCTGGTTAAGAGTGGAGGTTAGGGGCGCGAGCAGCGCAAGCAGGATTTTCATTTGACTGCCGAGACTCTCCAGCACCATACGTGGGCTCTTCCGGCATAGCGGAACGAGTGGACCGGTCGCACCACCATTCGAGTATTATTGCGCTGACGGGAATGGGTGACCGGGGGTTGAAACCACCCTCTCTGGATATATCAACGGTTGGCGTTTATGTGGCGACCAACTGTCGAGTTAATATTCACGCGATTCGCCTCGCCGCTCCATATCCAGCCTCCGCCCGTCGTCTCTTCCTCCTCCACGCCTGCCAGCTTCGTCCCTTACGGCATCGCCAGAGCCTGACGCTATCTCTGACCGTCCCTTGGACCACTAGCCTTGCCGCGTGTTCGGAAACTAATTTTTTTTTTCACGCGTCATCTCTACATTAGGCTAATGGAAACTCGCACGCATCGTGCCATGCCGAATTACACGCTCCGTCGTGATCGCGATCGACGTCATTTGTGTGTTTATGTAATTTTTTTTTTTCTTTTTTATCTTGCAGAAGATCCATGGCCCATGGCCGGTCCACGTCGATGGAGTCACGGGACGTTGTTTTCTGCATCCTCATCACTGCCTTTCTTTACTCTGGCTTCGGTAAGTCCACGGGGCTAGTGAAAGTTTAATTTGCTGGGCGCAAGGAAGGGTGCAAAGGCTATCGCCGATTTCTTTGTGATCTTTATGACTGAGTTGTACGTGCATTTGGTTTGCATTCTTCGCGCGAAGTTATGGGCGAAATTCGAATTTGGGATTGTGCGTGTTGAATTTTCAAAGGTTTTAATTTTAGTTTTTTTTTTTTTTTTATTTCCCAAATTTACGGGTATTGGCATGCGCGCTCCAGTCGATGCGTTGGAAATTAATGGGAATGACAGTACGGGGAGCTTCTCTTTTCTTTTTGTTCTTTCTTTATTTGTCTTTTTAACCACTGCGGAATTTTATTAAATATTCGCCCACCGTGTGCAACGAGACTCAGAGCATGGTTAGGTTGTTAATGGTGAACGTAGACGGTATATTAGGACGTGTACAAGGTGCAGCTTCAATTTAGCATTCTTTTGTACGCGTATGCATAGTACTTTCAACGTGTACGATATGCATTTAGAAAATACCAAGGAGGGAGCCGTGTGGATTTTAGAAATTTTGTACTTGCAATTTTTCGGTGTATCTGGAATTGATCTCAGGTACCTCGGGTATTTGGCTTTTTGAATCTTTTTTTTTTCTCGCATATTTTTCTTTCCCATTTACTCGTCGACGTCAGTGACTTCGGTATTGCTAATTATGTTTATTCCGCGGTACTCCAATAGGGAGTAGTTTGCGTAAATGAATTTTGAAAATGAATATTAGCATTTTGAAAATCTTCGTTATCTGCATACGTCAGTCATACCTATTTACAAATCAAGTTACAGTACATCGTACGTCTTTGGAGCGTCCTAGGGTAGCTCAGCCAACCACCAGGAATCAATTTCTCGGTTTGTCGGGCCGTAAAACGTAAGAACGTTATTGCCGCTATAAAAAGAAGTATAAGTCACGTGCTGAAGTAGGAAGGACTCCATGACTGCAGAGACGATGGTAGCACTTTGCCAGAGGGAGCTTCTACGGGGGTTCACCGGACTGAGACATTCTCGGCCTACAAGGGCGGAAAAACGTTGCTTATGAATAAAAACATTAGTACTTTTCTGGATTTGCCGGAAGATTCGTTTGGCCCCTTAAAAAGACCACGAGAGGTCCAGCCCCCTTGTCAAGGGGAGGTTACTTAGATTCATTCATTTTTTTCCCCTCCACGGGACAAAGAAGGTCTATAAAATACTCATTCTTTTTTTTTCCCTTTCAGGTGAAACTCTCTCGAAGTTATTACCCCAGCCGGAATTCTTGGCACCCTTGGAGAATCACACCGTTATCCAGGGTCGCGACGTTTCCTTCACCTGCGTGGTCAACCATCTTCAGTCGTACAAGGTTACAATCGTCCCTTATTGACGTGCGATTTCGAAGGGTTCCTATAGCACTGTCTGGCGCACGAGGGATGTCAAAAGGCGGCTGGGCCCGTGGATAAGCATACTGAAGGGAGACGTCCCTTCTTTCATAAAGAGGAGAGCTCGGGGTTCAGATTGATTCAATTCCGAAGGAGTTTAACCTGTCGAGCTGCTTTTTCTCTTATTCGAACTTTTTCGCGTACCGCTTCCTTCGGGACTGATACTGTCGGTTTGGATAATTCACTTTCCCCACGAGGAAGATTCCCCGCAACTCGTGGTTTGATTGCAGCCCGGGACGACGACAGCGGCAAACGTTCCTGCTGCCTCCTACCCGAGCGACCCCGGATAATCTGTTTCCCTCCCGACATGTCCCTTCGGAGGGTCGTCCCCGCGTGGACCCGTCGGGTCACAGGGACGGAGGGGAAGTAGGGGAGTCATAAATCAGTGACGTTAATATTGCATTAGGAACTCGCCTTGTCGACGTCTCGTTTCGAATCTTTGAAAATCTACCTTTCTTCTTTCACTCTTCTTGGGTATACCTAACCTCATTAATTTTCGCCATATTTTCATGGGACTCGCGGTGGTTCGCGCTGGATACCTTAAGTCCGCTTAAACTGGCAAAACAACAATGGCCGAACTCCTTCTTGTACCGAATCGACAAATACCCAATTACTTGAGCTTTTCGAGATTGGAGGGGATCTGATTCGCGCAGTCCCTTGTTACCAGGGCTTACCACTTGTCGGCATCCTCGCTCCTTCAGGACTCCTTGAGACCCTTCACGACATCCTCTATCCCTTACTTGTCTGCCACCATCCCCTCCCCGTACTCCATTTCCGCGTCCTTTCGCTGCTTCAAGATTCATTTTGGACCGACTTGTCGGTTCAGTCTGAACTCCAAGGGATGACTTTTTCTCGATCTCATTGTCATCTTCAACCAATTGATTCCATCTGAAATATCGTGGGGTGTTTTTGAAATTTTTGTAAATTGACAGCATTCGGTATTAGGAATTTTTCAATTTTATTAACTGTAATGATATTTTTATGGATTAAAAAAAATATATCTTCCCCTATTTCTTTTTGTCTGCGATTTTATATCGTCGACTGACAATTTTGGATTATCCAATACCCATCCTCGGATCTATTCAGTGTGCTTATCTTCGGTCTCGTTGAATGTTTAATAGATTCCTGACAGGTCGAATCGGCCGCCATAAGGTACCACTCCATGTGCGTTATATATGCACACCTTAAATTCTATTGGCGCTGTTCGAGTCAGGCCTTTTGTTCAGGATTTAAAAGGCTTTTTCGCGCGGCGGTGAATGGCTCCGCCTGAAATATGACAGATCGGGCTGCCGACGGCCTCTGGCCCTCTTCTACGCCTCCCTTCCGTCCACCCCTCCTGCTGGCGGCCATGCGCCAGCCAGAAGGGTGGCTGGTTCGCTATTTTGAATCCTGAGTGTGCATGCGTGTTCTGCCCCCTCCCGTGCCTTAGCTCCAGCCATTGTCCGCCCGAATTCCGATAAACGCCTTTATAACCCGACGCGCTCTCTAAACACTCAATTTTTCAGCTCCGAATATCCCAAATCCCTCGGCCCTCTGTTCACGACCGATACCACCGTTCGGCGACCCCGTTCACGCGCCTCGTCACGCGCTCCGATCCCTCTGCGAACGCCGAGCCAAAATCCTGAGCATCCACCTATATTGAGAAATTGAAATCAGTGTCAACCGTTTCCATCGCAGCGACCTCGAAATAATCTGATCTCCCTGCTTCTCTCTTCAGGTCGTTTGGATAAAGTCCGATTCACGCGCCATCTTGGCTATTCACACGCACATGATCGCCCACAACCCGCGACTGTTCGTCACCCACAATGGACACAACACGTGGAAGCTGCATGTGACGAATGTTCAACGCAGCGACTCCGGCACGTACATGTGTCAGGTGAACACGGACCCCATGAAAAGTCAGGTGAGATTATCTAGATGACTTAGTCAGCTGACAGATTAATCGGAATATTATTAACCCTCTTATCTTTGTTTCATTCAGATGGGATACATGACTGTCGTTATCCCACCGGATATCATGGATCTGGATGAAGATTCCGTGGACGACATGAACACCAAGGAGGGAGGCGACGTCGTGTTAAAGTGCATAACAACAGGTATCCCGGAACCGGATGTCACATGGCGAAGGGAGGATGGACGTGATATTGTTTTACGAGAGGAACATTCCTCCACGAAACGGGGTATGCCTGTTATCATCGATTTCGATTGCCATTGACCGATTGTCTATGACGTGCTCTGTATGGGATTTCATTGTCGCACCTACTTATCCACTTTGATCTACTTATTTGCTAATAGCCACGTACTTTCACTTTGACTTTGAGCGATCGCTTGTTTGTTCCTGATTCGTGAATACGCGAGCGATGCAATATTCAGTCTTTACTCGTTTTAATCCACTCGATCTTAGGTAACCAGCAATGTTGATGTCTTAACGTACAATCTTATTCTCTCAGCTGTATGCACCCCCCCATAAAGTGTTCCCATAGTCCTTATAAACTCTTGGCCAATGCAATTTCTTGAGTGCGTGCAATCTGAGCTTCCTGCTTTCTTGATTGATTATTCTTTGGGGTTGTCGCTTCGAACAGTGAAGATATTCGAGGGCGAGGAACTTCAGCTCGTTGGAGTTCTCAGACAGGAAATGGGATCTTATCTCTGTATAGCCAGCAATGGCGTACCGCCCTCGGTCAGCAAGAGATACTTCGTTCACGTACGCTGTAAGTCGGTTACTCGGGACTGTTTGGATGAGTATAGGATGTGAATTGGATTTCTGGAATTTATTGCAGTCGAACCGCTCGTCAGAGTCGCTAGTCAGCTGGTTGCTGCTCCTGGCAACAGTGACGTCATTCTTCAGTGCTACGTCGAGTCCTCGCCACAGGCTCTCAATACCTGGTACAAGAACAATGGTACGTTTTTCAATGTATTTCAGGGTAGCGATACTTATACGTGGAATTTTTCTTTGTTTCAAGGTATCAAATTGCTGCCCGATAACAAATATCGGATGAGTGAAACTCCTGTGAATATCTATTCATACCAATTGAACCTTACGATAAGAAATCTGGAGCTTAGTGATTTTGGAAGTTACACCTGCTCGTCTGAAAATGCTTATGGCAAGGCTGAGGGGACGATACGACTTCAGGGTAACGTTTTCTTTGGCTGTTCATCTCTGGGGGATCTGGGTGGTCGGTTCTTATTGTGGGGATTAATAATGATTTATTGTTACAGAATTGCATCTTACAAAAAGCAGTGTTGCCACCACACGGTCTATGGAGATTCCTGATAAAACGCGAAAGAAGACTGTTTCACCTGAAAAGAAGAAAAAGTATTCGTACTCGAGCAATTTAGATTTCGGGAAGGACCGTAAGGACTACACCACTCCGATGTCCTGGGAAAATTTGGCCAAGGGTCTCAGAAGTACGAACGACTCCTCTGCTCTGTCAAAATTCTCATCCGGAAGTAATGCTCCACGTGCACCCGAATCTGCTCATCTTGCTCCCACGCAACAGGACATACCAAAAAATGAAGGACGCGTCTTGTATGCTTATCGACACCTTATACTAAATTGCGTTATCCTGATGTTACAGTTATTTGTCCAAGGGCATTCAATATATTAAAGTAATAATGTATACATCGCGTTTTGTATGACAATAAGTTTTGCCAGATTTATGGAATATTGAACTGCCGCCTAGTGTTATGACCCGCGCTATTTTTTTTCCTCTTTCAATTTATTCTTCCTTCGAGGTTAAACGGTCCAACCTTGCGTATCTTCTTTCTCACTATCCGATTACACTTGACTGTTATCAGTAACTGTTATGTAAGCGAAGCGAAGAATTGCGACAATAAATGTGGTTTTCTTACTGGAATACTTCTTAACGATGAGTATATTAAACGGCGATTTATATTTTTGTTTTATCATACTGTTTTGCCTTTTATCATACTCAAAATGTAGTTAGTTAATGGATCATTAATTAAAATATTTATTTCTATTGTCAGGGTCGTTAGGTAATGTGACACATTGTATTATCTCAGAGGAAAAAGCGTCAAGGATGCGTCCGCTCCACCCATCCGGATGCTGCGTGATAATTATGTCCCGCTCTATTTTAGAATGTTTAATCGAACCTTTACGACAGTATGAAATTTGGAAGTGCCGAACTATGTGGCTACAGAAATATAATTGTTTCCTAGTGATCTGTGCATTTTTGCAGAGTGTTGTCCATGGCGGCGGTGAGATATGCAAGTTTCCTTTTGGCGGGAGTAATAACGCGATCTATCACTGTGAGAATTTATCCGATCTAGAAGTTGTCGACAAGATTCCGAAAAATGTTAAAACAATCCTTTTTGAAGATTCCAATCTTCAGCATATTCATGGGTAATTTTTTGCGTTGGGTATTTTGCGCTTGTGTTTAAATTCATATTAATAATGTATTATTACTAAGATAAGGTTGCTCTGTTATTGTTATTTTAGATACGCTTTCTTTCGATTGGGACAAACTTTAATCACCTTGGATATTCATAATTCCCAAGTGGCTAGCATTGATGCTAATGCATTTGCGGGTCTGCGTAATTTGGAAACTTTGCTTCTCTATGGAAACGATTTAAGTTATGTTTATGCCGATTGGTTTACGGATTTACCAAATCTACGTACGTTAGATGTTTCTTTCAATTCGATTGTCGGTTTCGAACCGAATGTGTCTAAATTCTTACCAAAACTTGAGAACTTCTACTTCGATGGGAATATTATAGAGTCAATTGATACGACCGCTTTTTATTATGATATGCCTAAACTCAAGAAGGTCATTATGGGAAATAATCCCTGGATATGGTCGTAAGTATAAAATCCTATTTAATTATTCAATTAAAATTTCACTCATGCCGATCAACCGATGTTCATCAACTATAATCGGTCGGTCGCATCGAATTTTAATTAATATATTTTTCTTCTTTAATTTCAGCTTCCGTGCTCTCTTGATGCATAACTTGGATCTTCGTGGAATTAATCATGAAGATGATTGGGAAGATTGGAAATGGATCAATGCTGTTATCTGGGAATGTCATGACAAAATTACATCGGCTCCTATTAACGATCAGCTGCTTAACTGTGCAGCAATGAGACTTCTTACTTCCGTTAATGAACATTTGAAATTTCAAGATCTAACCTCGTCATCTGACACTCGTTGTCATCCTGCTGCGTCAACATTGATTAAATGCTCGAGAAGTATTTCTTCTAATAAAACCGACGAAGAAGCTGTGGCAATGTCTCTGCGGGAAATCTTTCATGGTATCAAATCGATGGAATATCCTCAAGATAAATTTAGGCTTCAGTAATTCATACTTTATGAATACGGCGTTGAGGCTTTGTGGCGTTTCAAAAATTTCTCTTGATCTGTCAAAAGTGTATTTTGCGATGATGACAGTATTATTTTCTTAAGTACTCTCTGTATTTCTGTTATCTTGTTTAAAATTAATCAATAAATATTGCGTATTGGCCTCTCGAGATATGGTTTCGACTCTTGCGACTTTCAAGCACTTCTTGTGTCTTTTTGCGTTTTTACGTATTTAGCGACTTTGACAGGATGAGGTATGCATATGAAAATACTCTCGAGACACGAAGAATAGATTCTTTTCGGGAGGTAAGGAGGTTATCGTGACGTCTTTCGAAATTGTATCGTTTATAAATAGAGTTAGGAATTCATGGTTATTTACGTGCAGGATAGATGGAGACGCCCTTTGACTATTATTGCTGTAACGATTTTAACCGTCTTTATCGTTGCGTACGCTGCTTTAATTTTTCTCGTACTCGCCTATCCCGATCAGAAGGCGTAAAACACGTAAATATTGCGAATTTCATAGGAGTGGTTCGAGCACCGTAAGTCAAAAAACAAAAAATGGTTTTTTGAAAATTTCAATTTTCTTAAGGTGCCGAAATTGTTGGATGTCTTCGATTACGAAAAATTAAAATCATAGGCTCAACGGTGCAGCGATTCTCGTAATTGTATTTTTGGTTTATTCAACCTTGATTCTTTTTATAATTTTAATCTTATCAAAATTATCAGGTATCCTGTGCGTTGATACGAAAATGTCTGTAAGGATGCTGAACTTGAAAAGAATGAAGAGGACTTTGCTTACCGATCAATTTTGTGTAATGATAGTGTTATTTTAAAAAAAAATATTGTTTCCATTAATTTAATTTCTTTGCCAGTACAATGCAACAATGATGTATGTATCTTAGGACTGTCATGTACATAATAATAGCGCATTCCTGTCAAAAGGATCACTTTAATAATCAGCATTGCAAATATATCATCTACAATGTTAATAATAGGTTAGTTATTGTATCGAGTATGAAAGTTAATTTTTTGTAAAAACGTACCGACTGAAGTTAGTTCTATAATTGAAATCAATTAGGCAGGCTAACTTCAGTCGGTACATTTGGTCTGAATAGTTACATAAGATCCGTATAAAATAAGGATAATCTTACAGGAAGGAATTTGTGGATTCCTCTATGACGCAAAAGATTGTGAAATCAGCTCTCTTGCTAATGCACGCATCCTGGAGCTTCGAAAAAAAGCGCATTAGCGTTTTCTGAAAATGGGACTATTTACTTTGTCAAAAATTTCGAAGATAAAAAATCTTAAGAATTCACTCACCTGACAATTCTCAAGTATTCTGCTGTGCTTTGCTCAATGGTAATCAAAGTAATTGGTATAATTATTTGTATAGTAATATTTTTTATATCATCCAGGGCATCTCAGGGAAATTGCAAAAGGAATTGTCTGGTTTCGATTTCAATTGGGTTTCAGTTATTCTTGTATAGTTATATTTTTGAAAACTATCAAAAATGTATATTGGGGTGTAAAGTTTTGATTTTTATTATCTTTCATACAGGCCAATATATTTTTTAGTCGATAATACAACTATTGTAAGTTGGAATATTGAAAAAAATATTCCAAAAAAATATACTGTGTGTTTAATGTGTTTTCTGATTCTTCTCATTGTCAGTGGGTCTATGAAATATGCTGGGATGAGTTAGTTTCTCCTGTTTCCGATATTTATTCAATTTCCGTAGAATTCATGTATTCAGGATGAGATCGACCGAGTGCCAAACTGAATTACGTGTAGAATGGGGCGAGCGTCCTGCGTATGTGAAATCAGGATCTTATTTCAACTTGCGGGAAAATAGCATCATGGGGATCTTTCCCAGTATACAGGATTTTCAGCACGTGCGAATTATACCGGATTTTCACTTTGAATCTTTTTTATTCCCAAGTAACAAAATTTTTCTTTATGTTTGAATATCCTTTGGAAAGTTTCTTCAACCACGGTTGAAATACAAGTGTTTTGTTATGCTCAGCGCACAGGTAGGAAACTTTGGGAACTCGTCCGATAACTTTGAGCTATAGATCAGCTGGAAATGATCCTCTAAATCCAAAAGTGTGTTGAAGTAGTCTTTATTACTTTTTCGATGGTGTTATTGTCATTATCTTTTTTTAAAAGGCTTTGCTTGGCTTTAATGAAATTCTGAACGAAGTGTACGCTTATTTTTCGCGGAAATTGGATTTTTACGAAAATAATATTTGGCTGATGAAAGTTAATACCAGTTCTGAATCAACGTGTTTAACATGCGAGTCTGAAAAATATTTTTCTTTTTATTATTTTCTTTTCCACTAATGTTATATTTTTTTTTACAGATTGCTCTGCACGATTGCTTCGAATTCACAGCAACAATTGATCCTCTAGATTGGAAGTATTTCCTGATTAACTGTCGTGCACCAGATGTGTAGCGTGTAAAAATCTTTGATATTTTCGAAGAAAAGGTAAATTATATCTTTCGTTTTACTAAAATACTTACTTTTAGGAATTTTTTTTAAGGTTGCAGGAATTCTTGAGAAATCAGATGATCTTCGTAACGTTATAAGTATTTAGAAAAAGGTCGTATTTATTATCGCTATCCAGTAATATCATGACGTGAATGTACGTATCAAACTTTATATGCCCCAAGGCGCAAATTTGAATAATCCTCGATCATTAATTCTTTCCACGTAAGAGACAGTATTTCAATAAATTTTTTGTTAGTATCTAATTAAGCATGTGTTCTTTGATGCAGAAGTGACAGCGATTCCTCATGCTGGCTACCATCCAGCATTCAGTTATGCTGATTACCTAGGAGCAGAGACGAAGTGGGCAATATTCAAAGTCGATGGTTGTAGAAAAAATCTCGAAGAATTTTCAAAAACCAACCTCCTGAAAAAGAGAATCGGCGTGGTGATGGATCTTCAGGACTACAGCGACGCGATTGGGTAATTATAAATGAATAAATTAAAGTCATTTAGCGATTTAAAAAAAATTAGCCAAATTCACCTTAAAGAAGTATATTGGATTTTTCAAAAACAATCTCTTGGCACCAAGGGTAAAGCAGAGACACGGCAGTGTATTTGGCCGGTACCAAAATCATCTGAAATTCAAACGTGCAGCTGCACTGAATCAATCTATTTGGAAATCAGATCAAAACAATTCTTTTGTTCTACGATATTTTCCAAAAGCATCAACGTCCTCGAAATCTCGCAATCATCTTGTGTACTCCAGAGCAGAAGTGTCAAAGGAATTTCAAGTCTTTCAAAAGGAAAGTATTTTTTTGATGAATGGATCATTTCACGAGAAACTTGAGAGCAGCGCCAGCAACGTTTTTACTAACGTCAATCAAGACATTGAAGAACGTAGACGTAATGTTTATCAGCAGCTCGTACCATTTTTCAGGGAATGTTTTGGGGAAGTGAATTAATATGATCCCATGTTTATACTGGATATATGATCTACCCGATGCAGTAACAGCATAAGAATTCAACATAGAAATTAGCCTAGTAAAGGTTCTCGATCTTAAGATATATATATTCTGTTATTTTACAAAATTGAAAAAATATACGTTCGTTCTTCACGGGCGTTAACGTAACTTGAAGAATTCATTTTATTCAGGAAAACAAGTCAACACTCTCGAGCTCGTTGTTATCGATCTTTGGATTGTGCTTTTCTTTGTACGACGTCGTTTTCAATTGTTTCAGATGATTATCCAGAACGAGATACGCTTGTTGAAGCTTAGCAATTTTCATATCAACTTGAGGATACTCAATTGCATTTTCTATAACGTTACAAAGTCTCTCAGCAATGCATTTAAAGTCTTTAAACTGTTCCAAATCCTCCATTTCCTGTTTCAAGGCTGCATTGAGGATGGTGGCCTATAAAAAAAACAAATATGATTATCAGTGACTTTTAGTATATTATCAAATTATTTACAACGACACTCACCCTCTTTGTACGTTTTTGTAAATTTTCCAAAGTACTTTTCATCTTTTCAAATTCCTCCTCCGTATATTGAACGGCTTGAGATTTGTCCTCGTTTAACAGAACGTTATCAGGAATATGTACAAACTTATTAGTCGCCGTCTAGATCCAAGCATAAAATTATTTTCATTACCGTACAAGTCTTCATTAATTAATTATCGTGGAACGACGATGATTAACGATCGCGATGAATTCTCATAAATAATTACATATATGGTCTTCAAGTGTGGCTGACATCCCTCGTGATACACTTTGACAAGCCGTTCAGTTTCGCTTCTGAGAACTCTGAGCGCTTCCTCATCCGGTGTATATTTCTTCTCAATGCATTCAGCTAATTTTTCGCATCTCGATCGAATCTTCTCCCGTACAATATCCTCCACTGAAAGAATTCATGGAATAAAAGAGTTCACATCCGCGTCATCAGTCGCGGAATTCTGTGTCGATCCGTTGGCAGGATTTCTAGGAATGGGAATTTGATAACATGGGGGGGCGCGGGTTCAGAGAGATGTGAGGGGGGGCAAGTACCGCAAGATAATTGTGCATGAGTCTGATTGCAAACCAACGCCATAATGTCGTGAGTTAATTATGGAACAAGTTTCTGACTCGGTTTTAAGAATAATTGAAGATCCTTGAAAGAATCCTTACGAAAATTCGAATAGTTTTGCAGATCCTTTATTTTGTTAAAGACGTAATACATCCAGCACGCTGGACGAGTGTGACTCTAGTCATGATGGCAAATTCACATAATACCAGAGACTCACTCGTCCGGCGTGCTAGATAGTTTTGATCGATTGTAAAATCGGCCGATCTGAAAGGCATGCTCCAATTGTTTGAGATTTTCTTTCCCGCTCTCTTTCTCGTTCTGGAGACGCTGAGTGAAAGTTGAAAAGGGCGTCAGTCTTACGTCTTGCATAAACAGCACGGGAGTGAAAGCCAAACAGCTGCATCTCGTATTCCTCTCGTTTGCGTTTAGCTGCTTCCTTTGACATGACGAGTTTTCTCTTTATCTTCGAATGCACTTGGGAAAATTATATACTTGTCTATTTCTCTTTCTCTTTTCAAAACTAGTTGGACGCTTCCAACCGATTCTCTTGGTCTTCCTCGTGGTTTCTCTTGGCACTCCTCTCCTACTATTCTCTCTTCTTTTTTTTTTAATAAGATTATTCCGTTATCTCTCTCCTTTCTTTCTTGAAGATTGGTACGAAATTCTCTTCTTGGTGTCGAAGATGTTTACTCTGGAGCACACTCTAATTGTTTAGACTTCTCGCGCGGGTACTTTCACACGATTTTCTCTTGGGATACGATATGCCGCTACTTGACGTCCGTTGACAAATGAATATGGCGTCTCTCTGCCTGCGAGCCACAGCTAACAGCGTCCTTTGTCCCGCCACGTTCCTAAACCTATCCTCTATACCTTCTATAGATTGGCATTATTCGAATGGCCATTGCACCCGTTGCAATTTTCTACTAGCGCCACGCACTTTCAACGCTGGAACTATGACATCCGTCTCGTAGCATTCCTATGTTATCGACGGACCGTGTAAGAAATAGAAAATTCCTTCCTTACCATAGTATATTCACTCGTCAACAGATGTCAGGATCATTTATTCCATTTGAGTAGAATCCAACTCTACACGAATCTGTTATACACTCAGCGTCATTGATGCCTGTATTTACCGACTGAGTTTGCCTATTCAAATTATATGAGTGGGACCGAGACAAAAATAGGTCGATTCTCCCTTTCTTCTTTCTCTCTCGGTGCCGATGGTTACCGCTGTGACGCAAAAAAGTTGATTCTTATCAAACTTTTCACCGGTAAGATCATTTGTTCAACATAAAATAAAATTTCTCTTTTTTTGGACGTAATTGGAAATTCCACCGTCGAAAGTGAGGTAAAGACATTGCAAACATGAAATAACGCTTTGAACGCGTAACGTAACGTGATAAAATAATATGATAATATAGTCTGTGTTACTTTTTAAACCTCCCAAACACTGCTATTGAATGGAGGTCATCATACCTCCACATACTAAATATCTAGAAACCTTTAGTAGTTACTAAATCTTCAAGTTGTAAAGCAAGAAATATTATAAAATCCATGCAAATTTCTTTCCCCGAATACAGGTTCGATCCAATAACGTTTTGGAGTAAATGTTTTTTTTTACCTTTTTTTTATTACTGCTGTTATTGCTGACGTTGAATTAAATTTAAACATCCTATCATCCGTGCGTGATATTTATTAAACATATTGAACTATAAATTCACGATAACGAAACACAAAAAACGAGATCTGTGTTATTTTCTCATCACTGTAAACGCCCACAAAAGTATACCATAGACTGTGCGTTTAAACCGTGAGGATGTACCGTATTTTTTGAGGCTAGAAAACGAGCGTCTCAGCCTCACACGAAAGGCCACCCTAACAGTGCACGAGTTAACCATATACAGATTTAGCCCATGTGAAATTGAGTTCCATTGATCCAATTTCTAAACCGATCAATTAATTCTGTCTACGTAAACATTTATTACCCGATGCTCGGCAATAGATCAATTAAGAAGCCCGGTGGCTTCAAAGTCTTCTCTTATCGTTTCAATAAAAACTTTCAAGTAGTCACTTTGTAATCGACTGATTTCTCGTTATGTCGGGAAATCACAGTGATTATTTTTTTTCTCCCACGAATTCAAAGAGACAGATTCCTTTTATCGCAGCTTCCCACCAAGGACCGAAAATTATACACAAGGCACTGTACCCAGACTTTAAGGTCGCTTCTGACAACACGTTGTGCGTTTACGTACTGACGCACTTCTACAGGCATACAATCCATCCATATATATATATATATATATATACACTAGTGTACGTTGTGACGTATGCATA